TTCATCACTTACGTGATGCCTAACAGAAGCAAGGATCCCAAATTTCACGGATGCACTTCACCGAACGTACATAATCCGGCGGGCTCGTGGACGTTGCAGAAGACTGGTCGTCGCGATGACCAAAGAAAACCATGTTCGACGGAAACTCGACGACCACTACTCACACCCATCCCCCGACGACGAGCCCATACGAAATCGATCAGGCGCCAACACTGCAACCTCCGGGAGCAGGCCGATGACCAGCTTCCTCGTCGACGGTGAAGCGAAGACTCTGGCCGGAAAACGAGACGGTAGGCAGGCAGCCGCAGGAGAATCCAAACTCGCTGGAATAAAGGGATGCGGCATGCGGGTTAAAAAAACCTAACCCTTATTTGGATCCATTTTTTCAATAATTAAAATTCCCTAATTGACCTTAACTAAAAATTAACTACGGCTAACTACAAACTAATTACTAACTACCTAAATTTCTATTAGCCAATAAGAAGAGTTTAAGCATCTTCTTAAATATATGGGCTTAAGCACCTGAACCCATGCCTGGATCGTCTTAGTCTGAATAAACTATAACATATTAAGTTGGACGGTTTCTTTAAAAACAATTATACATGATTAATTATGGAAAATAATTTTTTTTTGTATTTTTTTGTATAGTTGCAAGAAGAAATTATATACGGAGTGACTGTTGGTTACAATTTTTTTTTTTTTTGGTGTAAACGGTAGCTAGTTGCAGGAGTTCGTCGTTCCCTACGTACGTAGCAGCTAAATATCATCGAAATAAAACCACACTAATTAAAGAGGAAACTAGACTGCAAAAAACAATCAAAGAGGGAATGAGTGATCGAGAAAAAGAAAGATTGTACCTCTAGCTATGGTGCTGGAGTATCACTTGAATAAAATGTTGGTTAGCCGCGAATTAATTAGGGTTTGGCCTAATCGTAACATTACTTGTATTGAATTACTTCTTATATCGAAACAGAAGCGTGGCAATCGAGAATCCAAACCAACACGAACGAACACAAATTTAACGTGGTTCACTAACACAATGTGTGCTAGCTAATCCACGGGCAGGGGAGAACAAATTTCACTAATTTGAGGAGAGTACAGGTTACAAACCAAATTCCGGACGGACAAATCAAACAAACTAACCTGACTGACCCTTACTATAGACTAGGGTGATGAAGAGTATTTATAGAACTCTTCTCCTAATCCCAAACAGAAAACCAAATACATTTTCCCAAACATACAAGGAAAAAGGCCAAACCAAAACCCAATCCCAAACCCAAACAGCAGGCCTAAAACACAAAACAAACCCAAATCAAATTCAAGTCATATCCTAACATCTTCAATAGCATTTAACTATAAAAATCAACTTATATTCCTCCTCTATAAAAAATGGCTAGTTTGCCAAAGTTCAACTCAGTATATATTCCTTAACTTGTTGACTAATTCTGTTTATTACCAAAAAGTTATGAAGCAAAATAATGACGAAATCCTGCAAAGAGACCATAACAAATGGAAAATAATAGCAAACAACAATACCAACAAAGATGAAAAAGAGGAAAAAGGATAAATACCTGCTGCCTCCAATGGATTCAACTCATGAAGGACCCCAACGGTCGGAGTGGAGGTAATCCAGTATCCCCTTCGTCCAGTGGATCCCTTCTTGGGAAGCTTGTTGCGATGTAGCTTCCCAAACACATAATGCTCACAGAATTCCAAAATTTGCACCTTGTGCCCGCAAAGAAGATCCCTCTTCGATGGAACTTGCATCCCCTGTCTCATGTGCCAGAGAGTGGTCATATCTTCCTGAAGAACCTGAGACGATGCAACTACACCAGAAACTGACAACACATTTCTTTGTAATGCATACAAGGTACCACATTTCACGCCTTTCAGTACCTTCCTCGAACGCTTGCAGACATACACAACTCCACCTTTTCCTTTGAAACTGAAGTCGTTGCTGTCGAGTAGACTTAAGGAGATCAGGTTCTTTGTCATTCGTGGAACATGTCTGACATCATTCAAGGTACAGAACAAACCATCATGTGCTCGAACCTTTATGGACCCGATTCCAACAACCTTGCAGACAACTCCATTCGCAATGACCACATTACCACCATCTATCTGCTCATAGGTTGTGAAACAATCCCTGTTCAGAGACATATGGTATGAGGCTGCAGTATCCAGAAACCACACATCCCCACGATGTGCCTTCTCATCTACAGCCAAGGCGAGATCGTTATCAGAACTGTTGACCACTTCTGCTACGGCAACTGAACTTCGTTTCTTCTGTTTCCCTCTTCTTCTTGGACAGTTGTACTTCCAATGCCCCACTTCTTTGCAGTTGTGACAAGCATCACCTGCCTGTGGACCGGGACCCTGGAATTCTTGTTCGAATTCCCTTTACCAGATTTCTTCTTTCCCTTTCCACCTGTAACAGCCAAACCCGATGCCTCACCACCTGTACCAGATCCGGGCGCCTTATGCATGATCTCTCTCGTATGAAGAGCATACTTGACATCCTCCAACGACACGCTTTCTTTACCGGCAATAAAAGAATCAACAAAATTCTCATATGAACTCGGCAAAGAAACTATAAGGATTAGGGCAGTATCCTCATCATCAACTTGAACATCTATATTACGTAGATCGAGCAAAATAGAGTTACGTTGTTCGAGATGTTCCCTCAAATGCGTACCTTCTTTCATCCCCAAGCTTAAAAACCGTTGCTTGAGATGCAGCTTGTTGGTTAGAGACTTCGTCATATACTGAATCTCCAGTTTCAACCACAAGCCCGCAGCAGTCTTCTCAGCAGCGACTTCAATGAGGACATCATTAGACAATGATAACATGATGGTCGAGTGTGCCTTCTCCTCCAGGGTATTCCACTCATAGTCATTGACCGCTGACTTCTTCTGTTTCGCAGACAGTGGCCCCCACAGTCCTTGTTGTTTCAATAAAGCCTGCATCTTGATCTGCCATATAGCGAAGTTGTTCTTCCCTGTGAACTTCTCGGTCTTCATGTTCATCGATGTCATTCTTTAGAATTGAAACCCTAGCCTGATTTTCAGCCGCGACTCTGATACCACTTGTTATAAACGCGCTGCTACGGATTGTGAAATTGCTGGAATCGAGAACGCAAGAATACGAAAGGGAGAATCGAAAACATGACACACGATTTACGTGGGGTTCACTAACAAAATGTGTGTTAGCTACGTCCAGGGGAGAGGGAGAGCCAGTTTCACTATATCGAGGAGATTAGAGATTACAGAGGAGTATGAGAAGTATTTATAGTGCTTCTCCATGTGGGTCCAAACCTAATCCAATCTGGCAAAAGAAACGGTTACAGACCAGACCCATAACCCGAACCCAAATAACATTGAGACCCTCGACTAATCCAGTCGTAACGGCTGATAGTCCAATTCAAGTCACATCAACAGTGATGAAACTGCCCTCTCTCACCATATCTGTTCACATTATGCATGGAGCGGCTAAGTCACATCATTGAACAGGCTGTGGAGGAGGGGAGATGGAAGCCGATCAGACTAAACCCAGGTGGCCCCCCTCTCTGTCAGGCTTCGGGCCAACAGGTTAGCAAAGAAAAATCTGTAGTCTTCTTCTCGGGAAACACAAAGTGGCCGATCAGCTCAGCCATTGTCCAGCACCTCGGCATCCCTGCAACACAAGACCTGGGGAGGTATTTGGGAGTACCGGTTCTTCATGGGCGGATCACCAAATGTACTTTCCAGTATATTTTGGATCGTCTGGATAACAAACTTGCAGGGTGGAAGGCTAAATCGCTGTCCTTGGCGGGGCGTGTAACTCTGGCGACGTCAGTCCTCAGCTCCTTGCCTACCTATGCAATGCAGACCACTCTGCTTCCCATCTCCATCTGCGATGAGATCGATAAGAAAATCAGGCGATTTATCTAGGGTTCCACGGCTAAAACCCAAAAGATCCATCTGGTTAACTGGGAGGGCATCTGCAAACCCAAAGAGGAGGGGGGTCTTGGACTCCGACAAGCGCATGAGTTAAACCTTGCTTTTCTAACAAAACTTGCCTGGTTGTTTGTTAAAAAATCTGATGAGTTGTGGGTTAGAGTGTTGCAGGCTAAATATTTTTAGCATGTCAACGGCGAGATGCGAGCAAAATCCATGGCTAGAGCATCCAATCTCTGGCGGGGACTAAGGAAGGCGTGGCCGACTATGACGCTTGGAATGAGAATGAGTATTAGGGATGGGCGGAGTACTAGCTTCTGGACGGATAGATGGGTGGACTCGGGCGAGCTGCTTATCGACCATGCACTGGAAACGATCAGACCGTTGGACCTGGAGCTCCCCGTGGCCTATTTTGCTGAGGATGGTGAGTGGAATGTCCAGCTTTTACGCTCACTTTTGCCTGAGGAAGCTGTTTTGCAGGTGCTGGGGGTTCAACCGCCAAGAGAAGGGTACGGCGAGGACTCTCCGATCTGGGGACCGGAGTGGGACGGGCGGTTCCGGGTCAAGTCAGCATACCAGCTCATTAGCCAAGGAAGTGAAGCTAGAAACACAATTGACTGGCGTTCCATTTGGCGATGGAGAGGACCAGCTCGAGTGACTAATTTCCTCTGGCTTGCAGCAAGGGAGCGACTCCTCACCAACTCCGAGCGACACAGAAGACATCTTTCCACCACGAACATCTGCCCCCAGTGCAAAGCGGCTCCCGAAACAGTCTTGCATGTGTTGCGAGACTGTGAATTTTTCAGGTTAACTTGGATGTAGTTCATTCAGCCTTCTGACCACCAGCGGTTTTTCAGTACCCATTTGCAGGATTGGATCCTCTACCATGTGCGACTGGAAGTTACTAGCCTTGAGTTCGGCATTGTTTGCTGGTCCCTATGGAGGACCAGGAATGATCGAGTCTTCGCAGGCAAGATCACGACCAGTGCAGCCTTTATACAGCGGGTCCGGGCATGGATAAATGTCGTGCAGAATGCCTTGGACAAAGACAGGTTAATCCATCAACCTAGTCTGCCCATAAGAACGGAGGTGGAGATCTCTTGGAAGCCGCCACCTCCCGAGTGGGTCACTCTCAACTCTGACGGCTCAGTTCACACTAATTCAGGCCATGCTGCTACGGGTGGCCTAATTCGAGATCACACAGGACGTTGCCTGACAGCGTTCGCGATTAACCTGGGGAATTACTCTATTACCTGGGCTGAGTTGAGAGGTGCTGTAGAAGGGCTGCAACTGGCTTGGGACACTGGTTTCAGACATGTCAGAGTAGAGCTTGATTCTCTCTGTGCAGTCCAACTCCTTGGGAATTTGGACGAGCCAGATCATCACCAGGCAGCCATTATCCAGAGATTCAAAGAGCTGCTCACTCATCAATGGGAAGTTGTTGTTTCCCACATTTTTAGAGAAGGAAATAAATGTGTCGATCACCTAGCTAGTCGTGGGCATCTGTTGCCCCTTGGTTATCATTCTATCCCCTGTTCTGACCCTACTTTGTGTAATTTCATTATGTACGATTGTCAGGGGCTCTCTGAACCCCGTTTGGTTTTGAATGAAGGCTGAGATGCACTGCATCCATTTATAAAAAAAACAGCGATGAAACTGCCACGTCAGAGTAAACTAATAATTGACCATGCCAAAAATTGACGGTTTAACTATTAAATTGTTTCAAAAAACGTTTGGCTCTTATTTTGTTTAAAACGAATGATTTACCTATTATATTGTATTTACACTTTTTATAACTATTTTGGGACTTCACTGAAGTGTAGAATGAACAAATCAGGCAAACAAGAATCATATGCGTGATGGAAACAAGAAGGCACCGGACGCTCGACTGAAAAAAAAAAAAAAGAAAAAAAGGAGAGAACAACGAAATTAAACAAGACTGCAACGGACAAAAAACTAGACCGCACCCGAGAATCAAAAGAGATAGTGAGTGGTACAACTGTCGACAACTCCAGCAAAAAAATCTAAATCACGAATTCTTGTAATTTACGAAGTGTATCAAATCTAAGAAAAACCTGCTGGACTATAAATAGATCAAACCCTTGCTACTAATCATAACAACGTACCCTTTACGGCATATTTGTGTACACCGGCCACCATGGCGAATTCCTTCATACCCTTCTTCCTTCCCTTGCTAGTCGCACTGATCACTACCACGGAAGTTCTCCGATTCGTCGTCGTCGTCGTCCAAGGAGATCCAGACCTAACTTACGTCTCGGGTTACTGCGGCCAAGAGTACGATGTCAGCGGTTTCAGGATGGATCAGGCCAGCAGAGTCGCGAGCGAGGCCATTGAGCAGACAGCGCCCGGTGGTCGGGTTTGCAGCCAAACTCCCGAGCAACCCGTTATGTATTATCGGTCAACATGTTCAGACTCCGTCTCTCAGGAGGATTGCAGCGCTTGTCTGGCCTATTGTAAAGACCAGTTGGTGACTCAAAACGGATGCGTGGATTATTATGGCGCCCAACTCACTGTTGCCAGTTGTTCCTTGAGGTATGAGACCTATTCAATACCAGAGTGCAATGTCTGACCTCATTAGGAAAAAGACGTTCAGATGGGAACCGCGCGGGTTCTGCTTGTCTTCAAGCCGCATATCACAGGTTCGAAATAAATATCATCCTAATATAAAAGAAAAAAAAAAGAAAATTTGGAAACTCGCCGCTAAAATCTATAAGGAAGTGATTAAGTACCATACATGGGCATGTATAAGATCCAGCATAACCGTCTCCCAACAACTCGAGTTATTGGAACTAACTGGTTTATGACAAAATTTGAAGTGACGATAAGGTTTGATCGAGTTGTTACTTTTTCTTTCGAAATTTTGTGTCGGTTCGTCTATGCTCTATATATTGTTGTTGTTTTTCGAATACCCAAAGTTGGGGGGATAAAAGTTATATATATGCTGTTGGGATTTTTAGTGGTGTGAATGGAAATAAAAGGGGAAAGTTTCAAGAGTCTCTTGAAGTACCATGTTGGTAAGATGTGGGAAGGCATGACCTCGAATTCGATCGATTTGATGTAATATGTGGTTAATTGGTTAAATTGGTTTGTGTAACCAAATGAACCAAACCGAGTTGAACCAAATCGAACCGAACCAAAGTGGCGGTTGGAATAACCAAACCGGTCCAACTTCCATGAGGCCGAACCAATGCAATGGTTGAAATATTTTAAACGAACCAATGCAATGGTTGGGGTGTAACCACCCATATGAAGAGTTGCCTCCCTTCAATGCATCCCTTCATTTTCTATAAATAGCACCATACCCCTCTCTTGTTTTAACTACGAGTTTTACATGGATTTTTCCCGGTACTGGAACTCTGCCAAAATCCAAAACTAGTTTTTTTCTGCATTCTTTTCAAAGAGAAAATAGAGTCAAGTGTGGTTCTCGCCGTTTCGCTGCGTTCGATGGTTTCCGGGGTTTGAGGTACCTCTACGCCGGAAAAGGTACGTCCTTTCTATCCTGGGAGGAATCATTCCACAACCTTGGGTACTTGAGGGGAATAAGATTCTTTAAGGAGAGATAGTGAATTCTATCGGGCTAGGACGCTTGCTTGTGTCTTTGCATGTTTTTCTTAATCTTATGTGCTTACTTGTGTTGCAAGAAAATAGTATACGTGAACAATTTTCCCAACATATGCTTTGGGCAAAACAAATACGAATTTGTAGTTGTTCACCTTTTGATTGAGAGAGTTTTTCCTTATCTTTATATGATGTACGTGGTACTTAAATTGCACTTCGAAAAGTTATGTATTTTCACCAGAAAAACTAGAAGATACGTGGATGACAATAAGATTGGTTGTCGTCGCTAAATGTGTCGAATTGGAGTCAACATATCTCGCAGAAAATTTGATTTAAGGACAACAAATTGTCCCTTGTACTTTATATTTCAAAGGGTATAAGTTGTCATCTAAATGACTTTTGGGGATGACTAAGTGCTCCCATATTACAATGCATGTATACTTTGGTAGGACCATCATTCGCCGACTTCGGAATTTGAGATCTGCGTCTGTTTGGTGGATCCAAGAGAGTTCCACGTTTGAAATTTTTTTTTTGTATCGAGAAGCCCATCGATACACGGTGTCTGGCAGATCAAGATAATATCGCTGAGTGGAGGACACAATGTTCGTGATCTTTGGCTTGAGTGGTGGATTGTTATGGGACAATCAAAGTACCACATCGGAACTACAAGAGAAGAAACAATTGTATATTAGTGTCCACCTAGTCCAATTAGTAAGAGGTATTTTGGAAAGGATACCAAAAGTAAAACTATTCAGCCTTGGCCCAAAGCGGACAATATCGTACTAATGGAGCTACCCCAACTTTGACAAGTGGTATTAGAGCCTGGTTTGGTGGATCTGGGGCGGTGGACGTTAGTTTGGTGGGACCTTTATTCAGTGACCTCGAGATTTGAGATTTGCGTCCGATTTGGTGGATCCACGAGAGATCCACAAGAAAAATCCTTGTGCCGAGAAGTCCATCAATACAAGGTGTCTGGCGTATCAAGAATCGCTGAGGGAAGGACACAAAATTCGTGGTCCTTGTCTTGAGGGGAGGATTGTTAAGGGACAATCAAGTATCACATCGAAAATACAAGGGAAGGATCCCTTGTATATTAGTGTACGTTCACCTATTCTAATTAGTACGAGGCCTTTTAAAGATGGTACTCAATGATAAATATTGTGTGGACTTGGCCCAAAGTGAAAAATATCTTACTAATTGAGCTGCCTTGTTATGACATAGGGTAATATGATAGAGTCGTAAGACCATGGAATTGCAAGCATTAACAAAACGTTAGAATTAGAGACTACAAGAAACCAAGAGACAAAGTCTTATTCCTTGTGGAAAAGACATACTAAGGCATTGGTCCGGCGCAAATGATATACTCGATCTAGCCATTCGGCCTCGAGAATCTATATAGTTGGAAAATAAAAAAGCGCAAGTTTTCAAGACGGCAAACAGGGTTTGCCACGTTTCAGCTTCCATGAGTTGCGAGCGAGGGGTTGCGAGAGATTCGGAGATGGTGCGCGCTGGGGTTAGAGGGGGTTTATGGTTTTCTTCTTTTGGTTGCAGGTCCTAGGTATAGGAGCCCAGAGGTGGAGGCGACTCTTGGGAGAGGTGTCGGCGGGTTCTGCAGATGGGTTCCAGGATCGTATGTCTGAGCAGAGGTATGTTTGGTGGTAAGTCTGGCTACAGGCTCACGGTACAAGAATCGATCAGAAAATGGTCAATTGTTATGGATGAAGCTCAACTAGAGTGGTTCCAAGGGGTGTTGCAAACCGCGTCAATGCGGCAGTGGAGGTTCCCCTCTGGGTGTGTGAAAAGGAGCAGACAACGATCCATTCATATTGGGAAGAGGGCTGGGAAGCAGGGAGTGCAGTTACAAATCTCAGAGCAGGGTCCGGGCGGGCGGCTTTTCAAGGTCCTCATCCCCGCTGCAGGAAGCTCGAAAGGCTGGGCAGGCATCATCGCGCTTCTGCAAGAGTTCTATCATGCTGAACATCGCCTGCGTGTTGAGCAGCTCGAGAGTTTGGAGTCGGAGGTCAACCTGCCAGAGGATCCGTTTCGCTCGACTCATGTTGATCGAAGAAAGTCCTATGCTGCGGCTATGAAAGGTGGAGGTTTCTATGGAGCTGGATGTTGTTCAATCGTTCAGGATCTTAGAGGGAACTTTATTAGAGTCGACAAAGAAGGGGTCTCGGAAAGATCTGATATGCTGGAGCAATGCTTGGTGATCAGGTTTCAACCTCTTGGGCAAGATTTTTTTTTCGAGAGATCAATTGAGCGGGTTTAGGAAATGGGCGGAGAAGAATTGGGCTATAGATCTCAACTTTGGGTTGCAGGAACTTGAAGATGGTCGATGGTTGTTAATCTGCCCAAGCTTGCGTGAGCCGATGAGGATCAACAGTGTTGCTAGTCATCAGTTTAAGAATTTCCATGTCTTGACCTCGTTGTGGAGAGAAGCGGCCGAGGAGCCATTTCGGTCTGACGTTGCGTGTTGGATTATGGTTTTCAGAATTCCGCTGCTTCTTAAAAGCGTTAATCTTATCAGAACCATTGGGGAATTCTGTGGAAGTTTGCTGGAGATCGATTGGAATTCTTGGGTGTCCTCCCATTTTCGTATGAAGGTGATATATAATGGGGTTATTCCTACCTCAATCTCTCTGGTTTTTGAAGAGCAGCGGTTCACTGTGAACGTTAGGTCTCTGCCGGCGACTTTGCCGGGTAATTGGCTGGGGTTGGAACAGGGGATGAGGGGTGAGAAGACGAAAGGGCAAGAGGAGTGATGAGCGTCTCAGTGCATGGGTGGCTCGCAAAGCAAAACTGGATCGCGTGGCAGTAGGGGGAACTTGAATAGTCATCCTTGGAGGTCAGGTCTCTTTTCGGCGGAGGACCCGTCGCGCATGCATGGGGGAGAGCAGAGGGATTTATTCAGTAATAGGGTTGGAGTTTCCTCAGATTCGATTCAGAAGCATTGGGTCAGGAAATGTGGGCCGCTTCTCAAGCCCACTTCTGCTGAACGGGGTGATAGGCTAGCAGAGCCTTTTGTCGATATGTTG